ATATGATTAGCAACTTTAGAAAGTAATAAGATGCGCCTCCGACTGTAGCGTACTGCAATTTCTCGGCACCTTCGACTTTCGGAAAATCATTTTCGGTTGCTCGATTAAATCCTCCGGCCAACCATCCTAACTTCTTGTATCCCACTTTGTACAATTTTGCCACAGCCACCAAAGACCTTTACCACAAAAAAAAGAAAATTATTCTTTCTTTAATGGTGATTAATAGTATTGTTAAATTAAACAAGTTTGACTCGACTCGACTCGCCTCAAACTTGGTTCTTCAACCAAATGAATGCTTAAATGATTATGAACTCGTTCAGTTAATTCAATTATTTTAAAATCAAAACTGAACCAAAATAAATGAAATTTTAAAAGTAAAGAACTGACGTATAAAAAATCGAATCAAAAATTTTATTTCGAACGTTTTTTTTTATAAAAATAACTAGCACTCATAACACACTAAAAAATTAGACAATTTGGGTCATCAATGATCAAACACTTTCAACAAGCAACACATTTTGATAATATTATTATCAAAATCAACAACTTATATTTAAAATCAATCGAATATATTTTTCTCTTTACCTTAATCCCTCTCCACAAGCGACGAGGACTTTGGAATTTTTGTCGGGTACCAAATCCTCGACCCGCTCCACAAAACCCGGATTCACCGCCGTAAAACGCTGGCCCGTCCACAGCCCGATGTACCCAAAATGGACCCACTTTTTCATTAGAGTGATCGGGCCATTGTCCGTATCCTCCACGAACAGCGGCACGTGCAGAGACCCCGAAACACGTGCCTTCTCCCTCTCCCATTCGGGCCTGATGTCCAGTAGCGTGTAACCTTCCGGGCCCAATGCCGAGGCTGCATCTTTCGGTGCTATGGGCGCGACCGCACCGGATTGTATGAGTTCGCGGCCGTTTCCACCCAGAAGCGCGGCGCGCGCTTTAAGGGAGGAGGGGCGGGCGGCGGGGGACAGCCGCCGGAGGTGTTTTGGGGCTAAGGTTGGTGTGTGGTGGTTTTGCAATTGAATTGCCATGGTGGACATAAGCACCTTATCCTTTTGATTTGGACTCCTAACTAAAATGTGCATTATTTATATTTTAAGAAAAATATTTTTATTATCAACTCATACAATTATTTAAATAATTACTTAGCTTGTTAGGTATAACAAAAGTAAAAAGTAGAGTTCATAGATTAAATCTAATTGATTTTGAGTCCGGCTCATTTGAGACGAGTTTGAGTTCATTTAAAATTCGTTAAGTTACGAGTCAATTTAGGCTTAGAAAATAGACATTTTTATATAGTTTTGTCTTGTTTGACTCGTTGATATTGATAAACAGTCGAACTTTTAAATCAGATTCAAATATTAAGAACTTAAACTCATTTGAACCTTTAATTAAAAGAGTCGTCTTTATGAATGTTGAGGTTAAAGACAAATGTATTCATTTTTTTTTTTTTTTTTTCNNTTTTTTTCAAAATATAGAAAAATCTCACAATTTCAAATGATAGACAAATGTATTTATACACGTCCAAAATGTTGTACGTACACACAATTTTAAATTAGTTTGTCCATCACCTCACAGATATCATAAAAAAATACATCTCATAATTTGATTGAGGTCAAAATAACTCATAGACTAAAAACAAAAAAAAAAATATATTGACAATAACTCTTCAAAAATACTATATATAACATCATAAACAAATAACAAAACAATGATAACTCTGTACTCTACAGAAAGTATGACATTGATGTAAGTGCTCATGGGCCATTAAGTAATTAATCTGGGTGAAATTTGAAAAATTTAAATAATAATAATAATAATAATAATAATAATTTTTTTTTTATTATTTCAAATTTCACCCAGATTAATTACTTAGTGGCCACTGCTATAGAAATAATTGGGCCTAAAGGAATTTTCAGCCCATTTGTACTAATACATTGCTCAACCAATGAATGGGCTCATTCGTTTTAATTAGTGGGAATACAGAAATCCTAGGCCCGTCGTTGGGATCTTTTGGTCACAAATAAAACCTCAATAAAAAATTGGAGCGAGTTTTTTCGTACCCAATCCCGCCTCACCGGCGACCGATTTCCGGCGGACCAACTCTGCGCACCCCCTCTACGCTTCAATTTACGGCAATCATTTAAATCTAGCTGCGTTGTTGTAGAAACGCAGGGTTTCTGTATTTCCTTTGGTGTTCCTTTGATTTTCCGAGGAAGGCGATGGTGGGGATGGTGGCGGCTGCATCCCGAGAGAGAATCGCGAGTCGAATACATACATTAAAGCACGTCTCCGCTGCCGCCACAGACGTTGCGTTGAAGCTCGGCCATCTGCGGCGGCTCCGGGAGGAGCTCGCGGCCGTCAACTCTTTGCTGCTCGTGGAGTTCCTCGCCCCTATCCTTGACCTCTTATCAGACGGTTTGAGCCCCGTTCGCAAATTGGTTACTCAGTAAGCGCCTCTGACAACGTACTCCATTCTTTTTTTTTTTTTTTTTAACTAGTGCCCAGGCTATTCAATTTGTTTGTTCTGTCTTAAAATATAACTATAATTATATTCAAGAATCTATTGTTTCAGCTGCAGCTTCTGTGGGTTTTACTCTTGGGGTTTATGAGATGAGATCTAGAATGACTCCATATGATATGGATTTTTGATCCACATGACTCAAAATCGAACTCAAAGTAGTGTCTCAGGACATATATGAAATCTTTAGATTCAAATATCTTTATTCTCTCTTGTTTGTTTTCTTGTAGCATGACTGTATTTCCTGTTTGAGTTTGTATTGGATGATCTATTTCAGATGGCTATTTCTTGATTGTGATGAGTGCAACAATTTTCTAGTCAACAGAAAATTGTGATTCATTGCCATTTTATGATTTCTCCTTTAGTTCAAGGTGTTGGTAGTGTTTACAATGAATGCAGTTATGTTTTCTAGTTATGGTGGTTTCTGTATTCAGCTTCTGATTTCTGCTGGTTCAATGTGGTGGACCAAAAAACTCAAAGACGGGTATTAATTTTAACCGTTTACACCTTGTGATGGTATATTGATGTAGGATTGTGGGTGAAATTGGTCTGAAGCACTTGGAGTTGTTACCTGAAATTGTTCCGGCACTATTAAATGTTTTGAAAGACGACACACCCGCTGTTGCTCGACAGGCCATTTCATGTGGTATCGATATATTTCGTTGTTCTCTGGTCAAATTTGCGATCCAGGTTGGTTATGATATTAAATCCCTATCACCCTATTATTTTATTGTAATTATTTTTCGTGGCTGCAAAATGGCTAGAGATTCTTGGTCGGAGTGATTCTTTGTAGTTCTTTTCTTTCTGCATGAGTGATATATATTTTTTTTTTTTTTCATGTAGCACCAAGTTTATTAGTTCGATTGCAAATTTAGGAGAGGTGGTTCTTTGTTTATGAGTAACTAAAATTCTAGTGCAAGCTTTGAATTAGCTCCAACTTGCCACGTTGCTCATTGAAAGTTTGATTGGGTTGAGATTATGGTTATCTCACTTGAAAATTTAAAGAGGAAGTCAATCCAATGTTCATCTTTGGACCTTGAAATTGATTTTATGATCATTGTAGGTGGAATGAAAATGGTTTAGGAAATATATCTTTTACTCAAATGGTGGTAGCCTTTAACTAAGTTTATTGTGCTTGTTGATGGAAAGATACAAAAACATAATCAGGAAATTGGAAAAGTAGGAAGTTGGTTTAGCGTAGGCTGCAAAGGTGGTTGTGGTGTGCATTGTAGTGGTATATTAATGTGACACAAGCAGTTTGATTTGTCGCTATCTCAGCCTTCCCTTTGCGTTTGAATGATTAACATATCTGCAGATTAAGCTTGAATGAAAAGCCTCCGTGACTATATAATGTTTCATATTGCCAGGGTTTATACTCGAGTGAATTCAATGAATCAACAAGATCAGCATGGGCAAGTGCGCTGAAGTTTAGAGATGAAATATATTCAATGGCATCACAGGTAAGTATCACTTTAACATAAGAGTGAATTGTTTCTGGTCATTGTTTGACTTTAAACACGTGTTAAGGTGGGCAATGATGGGAGAAGGTTGCCAGCATTGAAGTTTGTAGAATCAGTTGTGCTACTGTATACGCCTGATCCTAATGGATCCTTGGAGCCACCTCCTGATCAGATCTGTGAAGGTAACTGTGTTTCTCTATCATGTGAGGTTGAGGATTCTTTGAAAACTAAGCTCTTTAGTAGTTTATTGATAAACCAAAGCATGTCTATTGTGCGATATATACATATGTTTATGAGCTGCTTATATTTCCTGAAGGGAAGTTTGAGGAATTCAACGTATCATGGCTTCGTGGTGGCCATCCTATGCTCAATGTTAGAGATTTATCGGCTGAAGCAAGCAAAAGCTTGGGATTATTGCTCGATCAGCTTAGATTTCCATCTCTGAAGTCACATAGTTATTTGATGATTGTTTTACTTATTAAAAGGTATGTTATCTTTCACTAACACGTAAAATCTCATTTCATCTCTTACTTTAAGTGGTATCCATTCTTTTGTTTTTCTAGCCTATCGGCAGTAGCAACAAAGAGGCCTGCCTTTTATGGTCGTATACTGCCAGTTTTACTTGGACTGGATCCATCAAACGCCGTTGGGAAAGGCATGCATCTAGCGGGGGTGCATCATGCATTGAAAAATGCTTTTGAATCTTGCTTAAATTGTTCGCACCCTGGTGCTGCACCGGTAAGGTTGTTTTATGTTATTCGGATTTCTAATCAGTTGTGCTCATGTGTTTCTCAGCCATGATTTTGGCTTTTGTTATCTGCCTCAAAGTCACCTGTTTATTTATTTTTTATTTTTTTCCGTTTTTTTTTCCTAATACTCTTGCGTTATCATGCATCTGCTATTCAAATTCTATATATATTTGCACTTCTTAACTGTGTGTGTGTGTGTGTATTAACGATGTAAGAGGATTTTTGCTACTTTGTTCTACAACTATTTATCCGCCTATGCACTTTCATCACTTAAAAAAAAAAAAAAATTGATACATTCACCAATCAGCCCAATTTGGACTCTGGTTTATCTGTAGTTTTTACATTTCAGTGGAGGGAACGACTTGTTAGTGCACTGAACGAAATTAAAGTTGGGAGGCCAACTGAACCAGTTGCAAATGAATTTCCGGAGAACTTTGGAAAAACAGATTGGACAAGTGATTCACACGTGAGTCAATATACATGCATATTTTACTTTTTCTTTCCTTCTTCAACTGTGTGTGATTTTAAAGACTGTCTAAGAAGATGAACAGTTCTGGCAATCCTATGAACTTCTTACAGGAGGAAAAGCCTGCTAAGCTAATGTTGATGGAAAAGAGCACCGCTAGTAGGAAAAGAGCTGCAGTGCTGTCTACATCAGATTTCACTGAGGATGACAATGTCAGGAAGCGTGGACGATCAACACCTGAAAACTCAGGAAGCAAGGCCAACGCAACGAGTGAGGGACTGGAAAGGGCCCACACTCCATCTAGTTCAGATGCTGATAATGGACCTGTACAGCAGCTTGTGGCAATGTTTGGTGCCTTGGTTGCTCAGGGTGAGAAAGCAGTTGCTTCCTTGGAGATTCTCATTTCAAGCATATCAGCTGACTTGTTAGCTGAAGTAGTTATGGCTAACATGCGGAATCTCCCTCTGAGAAGCTCTCAATCCGAGGAGGACGAAGAGCTTCTTGACGATATGGCTGATCATCCTGATACGATTGGAAGTGATAATCACATCAAGCATTTGTCTTTGCTTCTTACGGACATACTTTCCCAGTCTAAGTCTTCTCCAACGGAAGTAACTGGAACTGAGGATTTGCATCATTCAGTATCCAATGAGCTTGAGGCATGTGGTGTTTCTTACTTCAAGCATAACTTTTTGGTGCTTTATGTTATCTGCAGGATAGTAATTATTTTTTTTTTAGTTTCCTTCTCTGAACTCGTATGCAATAGACTTATCCGTGGCTTCTATTTGTTGTTGGTTTGATTTGTATTGCAGCAAACTCAAGAAGAGGAGGAACCTAAGTTGATGTCAGTTGATGATAATGCAGCATATGATGACATGAGTTATGCAAGTCTACAAGCAACAGCTCCTATAACTGACTCTGTTTTTCCTGAAGACAATCCATCCGAGGTGCAGACAGGTTTTACAGTAACTACATCCGAGGTCGATGATGATGGTTTGGAAAACGAAATTCCTGGACTTGCTTCGTCCTCTCAGGATGAAAGAATGCCTGAATATGCAGCTGATTCTTCAAAGGACTTGGCTGAGTTAGATGATCCGAATCAAGATAAATTCACTAATGTAGTTGGTTCATTGGTAGAATCGGATAGGATATCACTAGAGTTAGCTAATTCGATTTCTGTAGATAAGTCTGAGGAGCTTAGCTCTAAAGAAGCTATAATGGATACAAACAGCATGAACTCCTCAACTGCGACTTCTATTGGATTGATTTCACAGTTGATTCTGCCTAAGTTATCTGCTCCTGTCATCCACCTTGCTGATGAACAAAAGGATAAGTTACAAGAACTGGCGTTTGTGCGGATAGTTGATGCATACAAGCAAGTCCCTGTGTCTGGTGGATCTGAACTCCGTTTTTCGATACTTGCCCATTCGGGATCGGAGGTAAACATGTTAGGCCACATGACCTTGTGTATGATTATGGTTGCAAAATGCTTCTATGATTTCTTCTACTTCTTTTCTCATTCCTCCACCCCCCCCCCCCNNNAAATGCAGTTTCCGTCGGAGCTAGACCCGTGGAAGTTACTGAAAGCACATATATTGTCAGACTATGTAAATCGCGAGGTAAATGAATGGATGAATTCCTAAGAGTTGTGAGGTGGTTGATTTTTTTTTTATTTATTTTTTTTCAAATATCCTGATCTGTTTATATTTCATGAGTCTGATTGTCAACCATGTGAATTTGTGTTGATAAACTCAGGATACATGCCTTACTTTTGTTTGTTCTGGTAACTGTAAGACTTGTAATGTTATCTGGTGCAGGTGGGCAGTTGTATTACATTTTCCTTATGTCATCCCTAGCTGTTTCTTCTTATATAGGATAAAAGGAAATTAAAAAGAGTATGTATAAGATTATTATAGTTTATACATGTGTGTATATACATTACAATCATAACTCATATAACTATTATATAAAAGCAAAAGATGATTATTGGAGATGGATGAGAATAGTCAAAATCAATTATATGAAGTAATAATATATAAGTTAAAAATATCATAAAATCACCCAGAGTCTAGATAATAATTATCTAATAAAATAATTTAATATATATACACACACATATATAGAATGTTAATTGATTCATTCTATACCTTTTTAAAGGAATGATTGAGAATTGTAATTATTTATGAAAAATTATTTAAGAATCTAGGAATACAGGGTTGCTTATGTGTTAGCCGAAGTATGAGAGGTTGATGCATAAGGACCCAAAGGATCACATAGGTTAGGAGGGTTTTGCTCTGGTATACAGGGTTTGATGCTCTTGCCTTCCAACATCTTAATGCATCAGTATTATAGTCCTATATTTGTAAAGTAAGGCGTTAGTTGTCTTGATTTTCCTTTTCTAGTCCAGTTCTACACAGACATCGTTCCCTTTTCTATTATTCTTGATCATTCTTGTCCATTACAATCTCACCTATTCATTTTACTTATCTTCCCTGTCTTGTATTCTGTGTGAGTATATTTCTGCTTATGACTTCGTAAAACCAATGATTCTATATGATGTGGCTGATTAGTGTATGTCTTCAGGGGCACGAGTTAACGTTGCGCGTCCTATACAGGTTGTTTGGTGAGGCAGAAGAAGACAGTGACTTTTTCATTTCAACTACTGCTACATCTGCCTATGAGACATTTCTTCTGCACGTGGTTTGTATATGTGCTCCAAGTTTGTTCTCTTTAATATATATTTGTGAAAGTTCTAATCTATAAATTCAACACAGGCGGAAACACTGAGGGATTCTTTTCCAGCTTCTGACAAATCTCTGAGTAGGTTGCTTGGTGAAGTCCCATATTTGCCGAAGTCAATATTTGAAATGTTGGAGCGCTTGTGTACGCCTGGTATGAGTGATAATGATGGTAAGGAGTTGCACAGTGGGGATCGAGTAACCCAGGGGCTCATGGCAGTATGGAGCCTGATATTGCTGAGACCTCCAATTCGTGATGCTTGCCTTAAAATTGCTTTGAAGGTTTTCTTGCTGAATTTCATGTCTTTTAATTTTATTAATGAGCGATGCTTGTTCTATTTTCATCTCAATCTTCTCCTATCTATGTAGCTCTCTGCTTAACTTGACTTCCATTCCAAATATAGACATGTGCTTATGCGTACATAAATGGAGTGCTGACTTTGTGCATAAATATGTTATGATAGTGAACAATTTCAGCTCTTATTGCATGATTTAAGAGTAATAAATTGTTGGTCTGCTTCTGATCACCACATTTTCTGCTGTTATAAGACTCCTTGACAATTTAAAGCTACCAGGAAGGGTCTGCTGGGAAAAAAATCTGATTCATGGATATGCTTTTCAGACGAAATGTTGAACAATGTCAAGATAATTCCTGGCTGTGTACTCAATGTCTATATGACTTTTTCTTTTTTAGTATTGCAATTATTCGAAGTTTCTGCATGATAAATGGGGTAATAACTTAGACTATTTCTGATTATTAGTGAGGTAACTGTAATTTCATATAAAATTGTCTTTTATTTTAGTTGAAATAACTTTCATTGGCCAAATTTATTGATTGGAAAGTATGAACTCTTTTTCCCTTTTATGTTTTAATTTTCTTTAACTTTAACCAATTCGACTTTTATGTTTTTATTTATTTAATAGAGCTCTGTTCATCACTTGGAAGAAGTGCGGATGAAGGCCATACGCCTGGTATAACTTCCCTTTGTTTTTCAGTGTATCATTTTGAAATATTTATATTTATCTCTTTTTATATTTAATACATTTATAGGTGGCGAATAAGCTCTATCCTTTGCCATTTATTTCTGAAGAAATTGAAAAGTTTGCAAAGAAGAAGTTACTATCAGTTATCATGGATGATCAAACATCAAAAATAGAGGCTGATGAACCCCGTGCTGAACTACAGATGGTATCTATCCAATCCATTCTGATCAAAAATAATTCTTTATGTTTCCTCTGGTTGAGATATCTGAATATGTGAATTATATAATACTTTCTGTACTGGCTATTGAAAAGAAGAGAAGTAACTGTCATATGATTTATTTCTGAGCTATGGTTACAGGAATACAAATTATGAAGTGAATTACTCAGATGTTAAAGTATAAGAATACATGAGAAATTTTGACTATTCAAATAAAAACCATCCTTCCCAGCAAGAGCATGGTAAAAGGAGATGGGAGAAAATCATATGATTCAATAAAAATTTCTACTTAATACTTATGCAGCATATGACGACACCACTAATGCTTCCTGCATCATTCATCTATTAGACCTTTGGCACATAAATCTGTCTCATTAAGATTTGAACTTTCTTTTTCTCTAGGACCAGAATCTGTCTAGTGAAAGTCAAGTGACTTTGGCAGCTAATGAGACTACCCCTGCTGGTCATCAGTCCTCAACATCTGAAAGCACTTCATCAATAATTGTGGCTGAGGTGCAACGTTGCATGTCGCTGTACTTTGCATTGTGCACGAAGGTATATTTGTGCCTTTCTGTTACTTTACCTGATTATGATATTGCGCATATTATTTCAATCTAACACGAATTTTGTTTGATTAACAGAAGCATTCCCTTTTCCGGGTAATATTTGATGTTTATAAAGGCACATCACAAGTAGCAAAGGAGGTTAGATGCAATCACTTAACTTCATATCAACAAAAAAACTGCATGAATGTCAAATCTTGCCATTGGGGTGACCGACTTTATTGTGGTGCAGGCAGTTCATCGTCAAATCCCCTTACTTGTTCGAACTATTGGCCCATCCCGTGATCTACTTGATCTACTATCAGACCCACCAAGTGGAAGTGATGGGCTTGTAACTCAGGTCTTGACTTTTTATATGTACTTCTCATGTCTGGCATGTGTTGAGTATCTGTGGGTTTGTTTATGATTGCTTGTCTGCTGCAGGTTGTGCATACACTGACGGATGGAACTGTTCCTTCCCCAGAGTTAGTATTCACAATTAAGAGATTGTATGATACAAAGATAAAGGTGACTGTGATCCTCTCATGTTTTGTGTTCATTATCTCAGTCCATCCTAGTTTTTCTGTTTTAGTCTCCTTTCTAAAGGTCCGACTCGAAAGATTTTAGATACAATTGATATATACACTTAATAAACAATTGTGAGTTGGTTGCAAATTTTTATTATGCCTTAACTATTTATGTGCACATGATGACCTTTTGTTGCCTTCTTTTGTTGGTTATTCCTAATTTTTGTTTCTCCTCTTTTTCAGGAAGTGGATGTTCTGTTTCCAGTATTACCATTCCTGTCAAGGGATGAGGTCAAATCATTCAATTACTTATTTGGATTGACCTTTATTTCATTCTGCACTTTGTATCTAACTGCTGCCAGTACACCTTTTTCTGTTATGTCATAATTAGGCAGATATTCATCTGGATCATATATTTATGGGTTCTTCCTAGTTCTTATTCCTAACTGAAACATATTTTCTGCTGTTTGTCAGGTGTTACTTCTTTTTCCACGTCTTGTGAGTGCACCGCTAGATAAATTTCAAGTTGCGCTTTCTCGTGTTCTTCAGGTATGTAACCCTTAGTGTATCATCACCAGGGAAGGATATTGCATGGAGTCTGATTTACTTCTCATGTAACCAACGCATAAACAATTCAATTGTATTTTGCAAAAGTCTACTGTCTGTTAGCACTATTTCCTTACGCTATGCTGTCTACTGATTCATTTCCTTGAATTGTTAGCTTCCAATTATAGATGTGTTCAACATACTGAGGTGTTACTATTTTATGTTTGACCATTATACCAATTTTCCTGAACCATTGTTGCATGCATAAAATGAGCCATGATCCGCAAACAAACCAAAAGAACGAAAAGAAGAGAAAAAAATAAACTACATAATTTATAAATATAATCAGGATGTTCTTGTTTTTGTATTATGGTATCTAACTGTGTATAAAATGTTATTGTACAGGGGTTTAACAACTCTATTCCGGTGCTGACTCCAGCTGAAGCATTAATTGCCATCCATGGGATTGATCCTGAGAGAGATGGAATTCCCTTGAAAAAGGCAATAATCATGATTCCTATGTAGCTTAATTATTCTGGATTAAGTTATTAACAGAAGGTGTTTTATTTATATAAGCAGGTCACAGATGCATGCAATGCTTGTTTCGAGCAGCCACATATATTTACTCAACAAGTTCTTGCCAAGGTCTTGAATCAATTGGTGAGAAGAACTTTTTGTTACTTGTATTTCTTTTAATCTTGAGTTAACATCTTTATATTTAAGAACATTGTTACTGTTGTGCAGGTTGAGCAAATTCCCCTTCCCATGTTATTTATGCGTACAGTATTGCAGGCAATTGGGGCTTTTCCTTCTCTGGTAAGACACATCAGCCTACCAAACACCTTGATTGAGTTTTTTCTATTCCATAAGCATTGCATGAGTACCAGTTCTCTAGAAGTAATTGTGCATTCAATATTAGATTTATTATTTTCCTGATATCCTTCCTAGAGATGACATGAATCTATGTTGTGAAAATATAACCTAAGGATCGAGCATTTTCTATACTAAGGCTTGAGTCTGTTATTTCTGTTATTTTTCTTTTGTTCAGAGAAAACGTGTGTGACTAATAGAGTTGTGTTTTCTTTTTGTTGCTGGCTTTTATTTGACGTGTTACGGTTAGACCTATGCGACGTCGTTTTATCTGTAACATTTAATTCTCTCATGCATATATGAGAGAGTCACGCTGCATGTACGGTATTGAGATGAAATGAGATATTTTTGGATTTTGGCTCCTGAATTGTCACATATATGGTTAGAGTTTAATTCGATCCTTGTTACTTATGTTATTTTGTCTGGAGAGCACGTTTATCTGTACAATTGAGTTTTATAATGTCAGTGTAAAAGAAGTGCATTGATCATACTTTCACTACTGTGTCTTGACATTACTAGATAACATTATTTCAGGTGGAATTTATAATGGAGATTCTTTCTCGTCTTGTAAGCAAGCAGGTAATAAATTTACTAGAGATTGATATTTTCACTTCTCTTGTCTAGCACATATCCTTATGCAATGCGTGTGAATGCAGATTTGGAAATACCCTAAGCTATGGGTGGGATTCGTAAAGTGTGCTCTTTTGACAAAGCCACAGTCTTTCGGGGTTCTTCTTCAGGTGTGCTTTTTGCCTTGCTGTCAATGTCAATCATAAATGTTCTTTCGATGGCCAAATATGTTAAATTAAGTTTTCATTCAACAGGATCCAAACTTGATGTAATGTTATTTGTGTAGCCTATACATGAAATAGGCATTTTTAGTCTTTGTACTCTACATTGTGTTGATTGACTAGACTATGTCACTAAGTACATAATTCGTAATCACTGCATGCTTTGCCGCTATTAATTCAATGAATTTAACACGATCATATTTGGATACATGAAAAGAAGTTCGAAACCTTAATTACGAAAATATATTTGTATAATTTCTAGTAATGCTAACCTTTTGTCTTAATATTTTTGCAGTTACCCTCAGCACAGCTTGAAAATGCACTGAATCGGACACCTGCTCTCAAGGTTCCCTTAACTGCCCACGCAAGCCAACCGAACATAAGATCTTCCCTTCCAAGGTTTTATCATCATATAAAAAGGGCAAAATTGCATTTTTAGTCCTGCTTGTTCAACGCGATAGCAATTTTACTCTCATGATTCCAACATTTTGCTTTTCGGTCATGTGATTTAATATTTTGGTGCAATTACAATCCTTTGAGGGCTGAAATTGCAACAAATTCCCAGATTTTCGATCAATATAAGTCATGTAATATAAAAGGACTGAAATTGCAGCAAAATATTAAATCACATGACCAAAATTGCTATGACGTTAAACCAACAGTACTAAAAATGCATTTTTGCCTCATAAAATAGTGTGTCTGTCACCTAGATTTTTGTTGTTCTCTAGTTAAATGAATCTTATTTTCAGGTCTACTCAAATGGTTCTTGGTCTTGTGTCCGAGCCACAAACATCCGCTCAAACACAACAGCCAATGCAGACGCAAACTCAAACTCAAATCGAGGCCGGTGACTCGGAGAAAGAAACAGTTACGGAAAAGTTGAAGGAATCATCTAGCACCGCCAGTTGATCCGAATAGTCTGGACCGTTCATTATTATGGTATTTATTTATTCATATATTTCCACCCTCGATTAAATTCCCAAAAAATGCATGAATAAAATATTTTTGTTGGCTTCAATCTATTTCCTTACAATTTTCTTCCCCTCTTTCAGATTGTACACGGGATGAAAGGAACTGATGAAGAGTATACCAGTATGATTTCTGTATTAATTAAATCGAAATACTTTGATGTTATTTGTTCGCCGTTGGTTACATTTGTCAAGATTACTTGTTGGCCTTTTGTTTCAGCAAATGTACAACGAAATAGAGACAGGGAGGAGGAAAATGAAACTAACTAATTGTAGTTTGGAAAAGATCAGATTAGTGTAACAAGTGAATTACTGATTTTTGGAACACTTTTAAATATGTTTATCTAGTTAATTGTATCATTAACCTATTCAAAATTACATACTTTGAAGTCACACTTAGTTACATATGATGAAAAGTCATAACTCAAATCTCGATCTGACCCGAAGAATGAAGTCAAAGGAAAGATAAGTTACATCCCAAAAGAAAACATCGATTTCGAAACGGTTAGGACGCCTTTGTACAAGAATATGTGATGTTAAGAGTGTTGTCACCATTATATGCTCTTAAGTTCAAGTTATGTCTCCTTCCACTGTTTCTGGTTTAGGCAGTTGATTATGATAGGGTTTTGTTTAAAAGCTTTTATGATGCAGCAGTTAAGACATTAATAGTACATGGAATGATCACTGTCGGTTCTTAAGTGTCTGAATGAATGGACTTACTTTGCTTCGATTAAGTAATGAATCAATGACACACAATGATATATAAAAATGTTTTTTTTTTTTTCTATATCTCTGTGTAAGAGAGACTGCAACCTATTTTTATTAGAAATCTCTCCTAAAATTTCGTTCTATAAAACCCCCCCATTCAAACAAAGCTCCGGCAAGAAATTTTCGGCCTCCCCATGTCCCTCTTACATTTCGCATTTGACTTTATCATCTTCACGGAGATGCGAGAGCGAGCAAGAAAAGGCCATCGATGAGCTTCCGAGATTGATTTCAGTTCGAGGTGGCTGTGAATAGCCGTAACCAAATTGGATTTAAGTACACCTTTATATGTGGAGATTGATTTCAGTTCGAGGTGGCGGTGAATAGCCGTAACCAAATTGGATTTAAGTACACCTTTATATGTGGTGTTTCGAATTTTTAGATGTGTCGTTCTTTATGGTTTTCTCCATCTGAGATATGTCTCTTGCTTTGGTGTGCAATGGAGATTTGTTGGGATATAGGGAGGGTGAATTCTTTTTAGTAGTTTAGTATAAGGTTGCGCTTGGAACTCGGAAAATTACGAACCGCTCCGAAATCGAACCGAAATCACTTCGAATCAAAAAATAATCGTTGATTGTTTGACTTTCTCCGAACCAAACCAAACCGAAAATATATTTGGTACAGTTCTAGAAATTTCACAAATATCCGTACCGAAAATCGAACCGTACCGTACCGTACCGTACCGAAAAACCGAAATTAAGACCCGAATAATAGAATATATAAACAAGAGATGGAAGCATTCAGAAAGCTTCATGCATACCTGACGCATTTGTGTCCACTCGTGTGGATCCTTTGCTCACATACGACATTTCTCAAATCATTGAGTCATACGAATACGAGGAGGGAGTTTACCGAACGGCTTATGGACACTAAAATGGCTCTTCTCTCAAAAATGCTTTAATATACGATAGAAAATACTTTCCAAGTCGCCCCACGTAAGGAGATCTTATGAATGATTGATCGAAATAACCTCGGTTTTGACCGCCTCTCCAAACGACGAAATCCTGCTTACAATGTTTGCAAAATCTCTTGATCTTTGATCTATTTGACAGTCACTCGTCCTGACGTATCTTATGCAGTTCATACTTTGTCTCAGTTCATGCAGCAACCTCGTCAGGCCTACTGATTGATTCCTCTCTTTCTCCATGGCCTGCTTCCCATAACTGGCCTTACTAAAACTTCGAAATGAGAATTTGACCTAAATTTCTGAAGATGTGTGATATTAATATATTTTATGTCAACTTTAATTTTATATAATTTGAAAATTGTGAAATGGAAATAAAATACAGTTATAACAATTAAGTTTTATTTAAATTTCATACTTAGTAATACTTGAAATCTATAATTAAATTTTCCTAGTTTAAGAAAAAAATATTTAAAATGGTATGATATGTTAAAGAAATATTTTTTAAGAAAAATATTGAGTTGAGGTTTCCAAGACTGAAAGATAATCAATAGGGGGGGCGGAACAAGTACAGGTTTCAATATGCTCGACTTTTAAATATGTAAATATCGATAAACATATTAACATCATGAAATTTCTTAAAATATATAAGTTGTAGGTATGAATATTGTGTTATAATTTTAAGTTATGTAATATGCATATCACCTTTTATAAATATGGTACTAAACAATATAGTTTCAAGTCATTTTAATTATATATGAATCGCTATAAAAGGAGATTAAACATAAAATGCTTACATAGATTTTAAAATATATAACTTGAAGAAAATATTTTGCTATAATTTGTACTCTTTTTGGTAAGTTTGTAACTTTTATAGAACCTTAGTGAGAATTTACAATTAGTTATTGGTAATAAATATTATATGTGGTAACCAAGTTTTAGAAAACACTTCAAACTAAAATTTATCGATCAATTCTAATAATTTATTAAAAAATAGCAAGAAAAGATGCTATTATTCTTTGTCTCTCTCTCTCTCTTTTGTTTTCTTTGAAGCAATATATATTAAAAAAATGAGATAATTACATACTAGAGAACAAAAATAATATCGGTGAATCAAACAACTATACAAGGTGATTCTAAGAGAACTGCACACACGCAGCCGCAAACTGAAAAGGCAAATACAAATACAAGGCTCAAATACAGAGAGACTAAAAAACTCAATAGTGGAGATTAACACTTCCTGATTAACATTTCCACGTAAGGAAGAATAAACAATGGAACAAAACACAAATTACAAACACACACCTACTGCATAAGGACATATTAAACTACTAAATATAATTCACCCTCCATTACCATATGATGTGTTGTTCGACCACCATGGTTTAAGTGTTGGTCGAAAAGTGCTGGTCGAAAGCAGATGTTAACGAACAAATTGTGCTACACATAAGTGTTATTTCTAAACTGGCCGATCAGCTTTAATTTCTGTCAATATCCGTAACAAAGTAGCATTTTCCTTTTCTCCAAATATGCGAGATGCACCCATTCAGTCTTCCATAGGTAAGTAGTTATGAAATTTAAAATATATAACAGAAAATCATTAGTTACCACTATTCAGATTGGATGTGTTTACTAATAAGTGGTGTTTATACATGCATAAACCTTGTTTTTTTAGATTCTTGCTAGTGTGTCTAATTCAATTATCTTTTTATGTTGATCTTTTACTAAATTGTAACTTTGTCGTGCCATCGGCATCCCGTGGATGATACTATGTCAATGAAAATGAATTGTACTTTAGCAGGCCTGGAGAGGGGCCCAGGTAGGGACATGGTTCCAGAGGTTGGGCTTTTGCCTGCGAGCAAAGATAAGATAATCTGTTGCTTGGGGATTGTATGATACACTTGCACGAATCTAAAAAATGTTTTGGGGGCTCTTTGGCCCGCTAAAGTCGACCCACTGTCGTACAACTCATTTTCCTTGACAGAGTATCGTGCACGGTATGCTGCCAGATGAGCATAACAGTTATGCCAGGACACTGTACAAGTATCACCGAACAAAAAATAATCTATTAAAAGATCAAAGAAAAAAAATGAATTTGGACATACTTGCAAGAATTTAAAACAAGGTTTGCATACATAGATAGCAACTATTAATAAACATATCTAATATAAACAGTGAAAACAAATTAATTGGGTATCTATCAAATAAACACATCTAATGTAAACAGTGGAAACAAATGAATTGGTGTTATATATTTTAAATTTCATAAGTACTTAGACTGAACGGGTCTAAGAGAAAATGAGAATAACATTTTATCGAATATGGATAGAGATTAAGACTAGACGGGATTGGGACTCAAAAGAAATAAAACTTACGTGCCAATTCTGGATCCATCAGCACTGAAATCATTCTCGTCAAACAACATATGGTAGTGTGATAGTCGGCTAGTGCCATGTCCAAAACAAGGAAAGGATGGTCACAAGACAATACTTAAGATGAATCTCAAGAATTAGAGTTTAAAAAGTAGCTCACTTATAACATGACGTCCATTATAAATACTTTAATAACATCTTAAGAAGCATATTGACTTCAATCTTCTATTGTGATACATTATCCAAACAAACCTGTTACAGGTTTTGCATTTTAAAATCCAAAATTTCATTTAATAAAAGAAGAATCTGTAAAAACCAATTTAACATATTTGAATGCCAGCAGGCTGCAAAGGTAAAAATCGAACATGTGAAGGTGACATATCTCTGTATCAACCACAGTACCTAATAGTCTTCAGACAGAGATTGCATAAAATAAAATTAAAAAGAGTGGCGTAAGCATGTATTAACTTCCTCCGCTGGAAGATTAACTTCCAAGTCTCGTTTGGGTGTCCATACGGACACAAGTTTTCCATTTTATGCAATTTGTGTTATGTGTTAGTAACATTTCATTTTATGGTACTTATTCGTTCTTGTTATCTTCAATTTTTAATTTAATCTGCATTTAGTTAATAATACTGTTGAGGATAGTTTATTTGACAATTCGAAAATGAAAAATAGATGCTAATTACCTGCACTAGATATTTTCTTCATCCAACATAAGTGAAGTGATAGAACATATTGAGTTCTCAAAAGTTATATGTTTGTGGTTGAAGTTATTTCAAAATTTTATTTCTTTGATTTTCATGATATATTTCTTATTTTATTACTTGTAGAGAAGGAAAACTTGTGTCCCTATGGACACCCAAACGAGACTTGGAAAGTTAAAGTTAATTTTCGCACTGTAAGTTAATCCATGTTTCTTATTTATTTTATGTGACCTCTGTCTGAAGACTATCAAGTACTGTGGTTGACACAGAGATATGTCACCCTCATATGTTCAATTATACCTTTGCAGCTACGCTGGCATTCAGGTAAGTAAAATTTGTTTTTACATATTTTTCTTTTATTAAATGAAATTTGGAATTTTTAAATGTATAACAAAATCTGTAACGAGTTTGTTTGGATAGTGTTACAAATACAAGATTGAAGTCAATATGCTTCTTAAGCCGTTATTCAATATTTTTAATGGACGTCATGTCATAAGCGAGTTACTCTATGAACATCAATTCTTGAGATTATATGAAGTATTGTATTGTCCGATGATCATTCTTTCTTTGTTTTGAACAGGGCACTAGCTGACTGACACACCACCATGTGTTGTTCGACGAGAATGGTTAGTGTTGATGGATCCATCAACGAATTAGCAAATTTTATTTCTTCTGGACTGGTTAGTTTTAATTTCTATTAATATCCGTATAAAATGCTATTATCCTTTTCTCTTGCACTCGTTCAGTATCTAAGTACTTATGAAATTTAAAATATATAACATCAATTCATTTGTTTCCACTGTTTAGATTGTATGTGTTTATTAATAGCTGCTATTTATGTATGCAATCCTTGTTTTTAGATTCGTGCAAGTGTGTCGAAATTAATTTTTTCTTTACCTTTTATTAGATGATTTTTTTATTTGGTGATACTTGTATAGTGACACCGGCATAACTATTATTCTCATAGCATAACTGTTATGATCATCGGGCAACCTATCGTTGAAAATGAGTTGTACGACCGACAGCTCGATCTGAGCCGGCCGGTTGCTCATCTGACTGGGTGAAAATCGGTTCATCCGTGGTACGGGTACAAACACACGTACTAGGACTGAGCATGAGACTTGGAGAATTCTGAATCGTTCCAAAAATCGAATCGAAATCACTCCGAACTGAAAAATAACCGTTGACTTTTTGACTTTCTTCGAATCGAACCGAACCTTAAAAATAATTGGTATGGTTCTAGAGATTCCACAAATATCCATATCGAGAACCGAACCGAACCGTCTCATACCGTACCGAACCGAAAAACCGAAACTAAGAGCCGAATTATAATATTAGATGTGTTATTAATATATTTTATGCCACCTTTGATCCTTTATAATATAGTAATAATAACTATTAAGCTTCACTTAACTTTCATGCTTAGTAATACTTGTTTTACAATTGAATTTTTTCTATTATAAAATAATTATTTAAAATAATATGAAAGGTTAAAGAATATTTTTTTAGAAAAAAAATATTATATTTTATTTGAATTTTAAATTTTCAATATTAGTTGCACAAATTTAGTCTTAACTACAATTTAGAGTTACTTATACAGTTGATTTCAAAATAAAATTTTTAATATGATGAAATATTGATGAATGTTGGTTTTGTTAAAATATATAAAAAATTAAATAACTAAATTTTAGAGTTACTTCTAAAATTGATTTCAAAATAAAATCTTTAATATGATGAATTATTGATGAATGTTGTTTTTTAAAGCATATAAAAACTAAAATATAACTAGATAGTCATTAAAAAAAATCTAAAAAAAAAAAAAGAAATCTCCGAAGATCCCGAACCAAACCATACCGAACCATACCGTCCCAATAGTCCCGAATACCGAACCAAACCGAAAAATAAAAATCTCCGAACTGAACCGAACCGACTTTTTGGTACGGTTCCGGAGATTGAATTTTGGGATCTCCGAACTTTGGTACGATTCCGGAGATTTATCAATCTACAAACCGTACCAACCCACGCTCACCCCTAGCACGTACACGGTATTAGCCGACGCACAACTTACTTTTCTACTCAGATCTAGAGTTCATCCCCGGAAAAAGGCCGAACTAGGGTTCTCTACTCAACCGACAACCTAACTAGTTTTAGGCCGAAACTCAAACCCTAAGTTCAACATAATTTCTAGTGATTTTAAGCCCCAACACTTGTACAGGATAATTTCTAGGATTTTTCGCTAAAAGCGGCTAAAGTCCCAAATCTTTAGGCATATCAAACGGTCTCCAAATATTATGAAACTTTAACCACATTATATTCAACATTTATAAGATTTATCATAAAAGTTTCACCGCATTTCAAGGTCTTTAACTTATTTAACTAAAATTGGGCATTACGGCTTTGTATTCATAAATTCGGACATAGCAAACGGGCATCAAAATTCTCGAAATTAAAACCTAAGTCTCAAGTCAACTAGATAGTATATATCAACCGAAAAGCACACAATATTTACCGAATTTGATGCCATTTAAACAGATAAATTCACAATAAATCATAATGCGCTCGAAATCACCTCCGTGTCATTTTTAAATTAATCTAAATACTTCTTTAAGCACATGGAGTCGGAGTTTAAGCCAATATACCTCTCTAAGAGTTCGAATCGATAATCAGAAATCGGGCAAGGCTAGAGAAATATGTGGCAAAGTTGAATCTGGTCGAGTTGACTCAGCCTGGCTCGGACCTGAGTTGAGAGGCACGAGTCTGAGCTGAGCTGCCCGATTCTAGTGCAGATCTGACGTGAGGAGGTTCGTTAAGCTCGGGTCTGAGATCTGGCTGGCTCGCCGGCGCGATTCCGACGTGGAGGAGCTCGTGGTGGCGTGAAGGAGGCTTGGACGGGGTCGTAAATCGCGAGTTTCTGGCGTTTGAAGGCTGTTGCGGCTTGGTTGGAGCTTAACCAGCTGAGCTCGCGAGAACGGCGACTAGAGGCTGTGAAATCGTCGTGTGTGTGCTTTTCCGGCGAGGTTGAGCTATTCGGACGACGAGGCGAGGTGAAGGGCTGGAACCGAAGAGAAATGAGCTCGCCGGCGGGAAGCTGAGCTGCAACGGGGTGAGGGTGGTCGCCGTTGGTGAGCTGCGGTGGCGTCGCCGGCTGAGCAGCGGGAGGAAAGGGAACCGCGGCTGGTGGCGTGGTTGCCGGCTGTGAGCTGCGGTGGAGACGTGGCTGCGGGTTTGTGTCCCCGGAGCTGTGAAACTGAGCTCGACAGGACGACGGCGGGCCAAGGTGCAGCGGCTCGGGGACGGCTGGAACCGATGGCTGCGGACGTGGGTGGACTCGGGCTCGTGAAGGGCGTGTGTAGGTGGCTTGGACGCGATGCTCGGACTGCGCGAACGGCGGTTCGCCGGAGCTCGGTGGTTGGCCGGAAAAAATGAAGGATGGTGGTGGAGGAAGATGGTGGCTAGGGTTTCTTGTGGTGGGATAAGGTGGGAGATGATATGTATTTATAGGGGTGGAGAAATTAGGGTTTCATGTGTCTTGTTGGGCTTAATCTTGGGCTTTTAAATTGGGCTCGGAATTTTCACGACTTGGGCTTGGTTATAATTTAAAATACTACTTGGTCTCGAAATTTAATTTGTTAACTCGAATTAAAAATTGGGCCTACTGATTAAAATAAATCGGCTAAGATTTAAAATGTTTCGGCTAAATAGTTGGGCTTGGTAAATAAAATAATTGGGCTCGTTCGAAAATTAAATAAATTCTCGACTTTTCTAATACTCGATTAAATAAATCGATACTTAGACTTAGAATTTTGTCTCGTTTTCGAAATAATAACTCAAACGTTTTTTCCATGGCTTAGACTTAGAACTTAATAAATTATACGATTAATCTATATATATATAATTGCTAGCATATGAGCATTAAATTAAACCTATTAAATTATACATATGTGGCAATATAACTTTTCCCTCCAAAAACCGTTACTTTTTATTTATTTAACCTTTCATTTAATTATTAGATAATCAACAAACTAATCACTTCAAAATACAAAAATAATTTTAAATTTTTGATTTAATTACAGCTGACCATATAATGTGTTGACTATTTAACGTGATTAAATGTTATTGTTGTGGTTACAACTAAATTAACTTCTTTTGAAAAATAAAAAACATATTTGAAATTCCTAAATAAATAATAAATAATTCATAAAAAAAAGTACATAAAAAAATATACATTACACCCAACATGATAAACACAATTTAAAAAGAATAAATATTCCAGCTCTTTTAAATGTAAATATGGCCAACGAAAAGTGCAAGAAAAAATTATTAATCACTATATGCATATAAATAAGTGAAAATATCTATTTTCACCCCGTTTTGAAGTCTTGATAAGTTTTTCACACCGCCCAATAAAAAGCTAAGTTTTTCTCCCCAGAAAGTGCGAAGGTTATGCGAAAACTGTCGCATATTAATCGCATAACTGTCCATATGCGAAGGATATGCGAAAAACTGTCGCATAACTGTCACATATCAATTGCATAATTGTGCAAAGACATTGTGCGATAAATATGCGACAGTTATGCAATTGATATGCGACAGTTATGCGACAATTATGAGAAAAACTGTCGCATAACTGTCGCATATCAATTGCATAATTATGCGAAGGCATTGTGCGATGAACATGCGACAATTATGCAATTGATATGCGACAGTTTTTCGCATAACCGTCGCATATGGACAGTTAGGCGATGAATATGCGACAGCTTTCGCATAACTTTCGCACTTTTTGGGGTGAAAAACTTAGTTTTTTATTGGGCGGTGTGAAAAACTTAATGTGTCTTTGCTATGGGGTAAAAAAGATTTTTTCCCTATAAATAACTCATAATACTTTATTTACATCTGTGCAAATGCACAGCTCAAATACTAGTAATAATAATTCTCGACGTAATTTAATAATTTACTATTTTAAAAAATTGAGCTATATATATATAAATTTGGTTCGGAGCTTACAGCTAAAGTACAACTCATTTTCATTATACTATCGTCAACGGGATGCCTCCAGATGAGCATAATATGTCGGTGGCACGACACAAGTATCACCAAATCAAAATTACAATTTAGTAAAAGATTAACATAGGAAAAATAATTGAATTTAGACACACTCGCAATAATCTAAAAACAAGGTTTAAGCATTTATAAACACCAATTATTAGTAAACACATTCAATCTGAATAATTGTAACAAATGAATGTGTGTTATATATTTTAAATTTCATAACTACTTACGTATGGAAGACAAACTGAATGGGTGAGAGAAAAGGAAAATACTACTGTTATACAGAATTACGGATATTGATAGAAATTAAGGTTGGCCGGCCAGTTTGGAATCAAGAGAATAACACTTATGTGTAGCACAACAAGTTCGTTAACATATGCATTCTACTAGCAGTGAAACCATTGCGGTCGAACAACACATCATATGGTAGTGGAGGGTGAATTATATTTAGTAGTTTAGTAGGTCCTTATGTAAGTGTGTGTATGTAATTTGTGTTTTGTTCCATTGATTATTCTCCCTTACGTGGAAGTGTTAATCGCCAATATTGAGTTTTTGAGTCTCCTGTATAGGAGTCTTGTATTTGTACTTACCTTTTCAATTTGCGGCTGCGTGTGTGCAGTTCTCTTAGAATCAGCTTGTATAGTTGTTTGATTCACCGATAGGAATTTTGTTCTCTAGTATGTAATTATCTCATTTTTAATATATATTGCTTCAAAAAGAGAGAGAGAGAGAGAGAGAGAGAGAGAGAGAGAGAGAGACAAAGAATTAATAGCATTTTTTCTTGCTATTTTGTTATTAAATTATGATAATTGAGCGAAATTTTTAAATTTGAAATGTTTTCTAAAACTTGGTTATCATATATAATAATTATTACCAATATTAACTAATTGTAATTTTACACTAAAGTTACATACAAGTTATAAACTTAAAAATATTAGCATTTTATTTTTAAAAGTTATAGCAAAATATTTTATGTAAGTTATCTATTTTAAAATCAATATTAGCATTTTATTTTTATCTCCTTTTATAGCGATTCATATATAATTAAAATGACTTAAAACTATACTGTTCAGTATCAAGTTTATAAAATGTGATATGCATATTACATAATGGAGTAAAAAAAACAGATATTATTAAGAATTTCATGACGTTAATATGTTTATGGGTAAAAAAAAAAATGTTTATGGGTATATTTTTTTTTTGTTGGAATTCCAAGTATGACAAAGTTGAATATCGTCTCCGAGAGACCAAACGACGTCGTTCTGCCTGGCCTTTTTCTACAGTTTCTGTATTTCTCATTCTCAATCTACATGCACACTCAACTCCCCTCCTCACCCGCTTTGTCCTCTGCAGTTCCATTCGGTACAATTCCTCCAATTCCTTCATCCACCTTTGTTAGCCTTGTAGACATCGAAATTTTAATATTTTATTAATTAATGTCTTTATTTATTTTTGGAAAATAAATCCAAGATAAATAAGATATTTAATTAATAGAGTAATTGTATTTCTTGCCCACCAAGTCAAATCTTAGGATAAAGAAATAGATTATATCAAATCTTAGGATAAGGAAATAGATTATATCAAATCAAGAAGGACCAATCAAATTGAAGTCTTCTTTTCCAAGACTTTCTCTCCTACACCTATAAATAGGGCAATCCTCAATCCCACAAATCACACCTCAAACACCTCAAACATCTCAAACACCTCAAAAATATCAAACACATCTTGAAAATTAAAGTCTCAAATTCAAGCGATCTCAAGAACCCTCTTGAAGATTTGAAGAAGTTCTTGAAAAACTGCCCGAAGTCTCCTCTTGAAGATTTGAAGAAGTTCTTGAAAAACTGTCCGAAGTCTGTTCAATGAAGAAGAAGGCCAAGAAGAAGAAAAAAAGGCGGCGGCTCTTCCCCAAGAAGTAAAGAGACGACTGCCACTCCTCTCAAATCAATCCAAGAATATCACACCGACGAGATTCAAGCGTTCTTGAAGATGCAAAGCCGTTCTTGAAGATTCGAAGGAAGATTCAAGCAAGTTCAAGCTCAAAACCGACGTTTGATCCAGGAAAAAGCTATCAAGCCCCCGAATCAACGTTATTCAAGTCAGAGTCCCTCTTTCAAGAAGATCAAAGAATCGAGTCCTCCAAGAAGACTTCTCAATTAAGTCAAGACCTAACATTTAATACGGGAATAAGTCATTCAACCCCCAAATTAATGTTAGAGAAGTTTAAGACCAAACCCGAAGGAGATTCAATGTCAAATCCATCTTTCAAGATCTCAATCTCAAATTCATGAAGAGAAGAATTAGAGGAGATAAATAGAGATTGTACCCGCATATCGTTTGATCGAAATTCAATCAAGTTGTACAAAAGTTTTATGTTTTCCATAAAATTTGTTGTTACAAATTTGGCACGCCCAATGGGACCATTTCTACCTCTCATCTCTTCTCTTCAAATCAAGTTCGAAGATCTTTGAAGATCTATGAAGACCTCTTCGAAGAAAATGTACATGGGGGCAATGAAGAATGATGTCTTCCCAAGCCATGAAGCATGGGGGCAAGTCACATGAAGAGCTCCATCAAATATTCAGATGCTCTTTGATACGAGCCTAAACTATCTACATATTCAAATACTCTTTGATATGAGTTTAAACTATCTACATATGCCAATGCTCCTTAATATGAGCCTAAACTATCGATATATTCCAATGCTCCTTGATATGAGCCTAAACTATCTATAAAGCTCCTCGATATGAGCCAAAACTATCCAAATATCCAAATCAAATGCTCCTTGATAAGAGCTTAAATTATTTATATGGCTCCTTGACACGAGTATAAAATGTCTACATATCAAGATCTCCTTGACACGAGAATAAAAGGTCTATAAGTCAAATATAAAGCTCCTTGATATGAGTATAAAATGTCTACATATCAAGATCTCCTTGACACGAGAATAAAAGGTCTACATATCAAGAACTCCTTGATACTAGTGTAAACTATCTACAAATCAAGCCATATGAAGAACTCCTTGATATGAGTATAAACTATCTACAAATCAAGTCAAAAGAAGAACTCCTTGATACGAGTTTAAACTATATACAAATTCAAGTCGAAAACTCCTAGATAATAGTTTAAACTATCTGCATGTCCAAACCAAATCTAAAATTTTGAGACTCGTTCACTACCAAGACATTTTGTCTGTGAACAAGGCTCAAGGGGGCATTTGTAGACATCGAAATTTTAATATTTTATTAATTAATGTCTTTATTTATTTTTGAAAAATAAATCCAAGATAAATAAGATATTTAATTAATAAAGTAATTGTTTCTTGCCCACCAAGTCAAATCTTAGGATAAGAAAAGAGATTATATCAAATCTTAGGATAAATCAAGAAGGACCAATCAAATTGAAGTCTTCTTTTCCAAGACTCTCTCTCCTACACCTATAAATAGGGCTCTACTCAATCCCACAAATCACACCTCAAACACCTCAAACATCTCAAACACCTCAAAAATATCAAACACATCTTGAAAATTAAAGTCTCAAATTCAAGCGCTCTCAAGAACCCTCTTGAAGATTTGAAGAAGTTCTTGAAAAACCGTCCGAAGTCTCCTCTTGAAGATTTGAAGAAGTTCTTAAAAAACTGCCCGAAGTTTGTTCAATGAAGAAGAAGGCCAAGAGGAAGAAAAAGAGGCGGCGGCTCTTCCCCAAGAAGTAAAGAGACGACTGCCACTCCTCTCAAATCAATCCAAGAATATCACACCGACGAGATTCAAACGTTCTTGAAGATTCAAAGCCGTTCTTGAAGATTCAAAGGAAGATTCAAGCAAGTTCAAGCTCAAAACCGACGTTTGATCTAGGAAAAAGCTATCAAGCCCCCGAATCAACGTTATTCAAGTCAGAGTCCCTCTTTCAAGAAGATCAAAGAATCGAGTCCTCCAAGAAGACTTCTCAATTAAGTCAAGACCTAACATTTAATACAAGAATAAGTCATTCGACTCCCAAATTAATGTTAGAGAAATTTAAGACCAAACCCGAAGGAGATTCAATGTCAAATCCATCTTTCAAGATCTCAAGCTCAAATTAATGAAGAGAAGAATCAGATGAGATAAATAGAGATTGTACCCGCATATCGTTTGATCGAAATTTAATCAAGTTGTACAAAAGTTTATGTTTTCCATAAAATTTGTTGTACAAGCCTCATTCAAAAAATTCTCAGATCTCACAGCTCTCGAGCTGCAATGGTGTCGGTTTCCTCGGGGGCCGCACAGTAGAGGAGTTTTACAAGGATTATAGCGCTCGCCGTACTGGAATTGTTCGCGCCTTGACTTATGGTACTTTGTGTTCAACATTCTGTATATCGATGAGAATGAACTGTGATTTTTTTTTGCCTTTTTTATTGGAGCACAAATTTATTTTGTTAGTAGTAATTTTCATTTTCTATGTTTTCAGATGTGGACGAATTTTATGGAGTCTGTGATGCAGAATAATTATTGATATTATTATTATTATTATTATTATTATTATTATTATTATTATTATTATTATTATTATTATTATTATTATTAGTAGTTAGCTTGGAGAATAAACTAGGGTTTATGATGTAGGTTGAACTATAATATTACTTAAAAGTTTAACAAAAAATAAAAGTTTTGAACTATTAAGGGCTTGATTGTTTATGAAATAATTTGTTCAAAATGAGTTATTTTGGTTAACCACAGTTAATTTTGAAAAGGTAGTATGGTTAGTTGTTAGTGGAATTTTAAAAATGTATTAAAATAATATTTAAAATAAAATGATTAAAATTGATTTGATGTAAAAGTAAGAGATAAATGATTGGAAATGATTGGAAATTATAGGTAGTTAAAAATATGTGAGTGGATGAATAGTGAATTAAAGTTGATGTGATATGTAAGAATGATTGGTTTATATTATTTAATTATATGAATAATATTAAAGATAGTGGGGTTGAGTTAAAGTTGAGTTGAAATAAAAGTGAGTAAATTAATCCATAAACAAACAAGCCCTAATCTTTTTCACACTGGCCGGTCTTATTGTTAAATATCTATTAACTAGGTTGAAAATTACATTTGACTACTAGCTTAATTAGTACTGTAGTACATTAAGGGATTCTTTTTCTGAAAAATGAAATGTCAGAGAATTCATTACCCTTTTTAATTCATGGATTTATTTTTGGTTTTTCACATCAGTGAGCAAGTACTCTATAGTCTATATATATATATATATATATATATATATATTAGGGAGACGCTGTAGTCCCGTACGGAACTATTCTGTCGGGGTTTGTAACCGTTAGATTATTATATAACCGTCAGGGATAGTTGGTCTAACAGTTACAAACTCGACGAAATGATTCTGTAACGGGACCGTAACATTTTCCATATATATATATAGAGTTGCACACATTGCTTTCTATATTACTTGTTAATTATTATTATTGCGTGCGTGATTTAAAATATAAAACAAAATATTGATTTAGAGAATCATACTATAAACATATATATCAAGCATCCATTACTCTTTTCATTATAATATTATAAAAATCAACAGTATGAATTTTGTCAATACATAATTCGACAAGTTATAAACAAATCTAAAATAAGTACATTAACTGATCTTGATTTGAAATGATCAACCATAATATACAAATACATCGAAATATATATAATATCACCGAACAATACAATACATAAATCAGCATCTAAATTCGATTGTTTTATTGAAAGATAATTAATAATTCATACATAGCCTTATTATTTTATTTTATTTTATTTTATTTTTGTTTTTCTTATCACTATTGGCTTGATTTAAGTGATTCGACTTGGGTTTTACCACTAGGACCCTTTGTCCTCATGTGGAGCCTATATTCGTTGAAAGTCGTCGGCAGATAGAGTGCCGGTTGCTCGGCTGTGACGAGCTGCTCGGCCGGCTTAATGACCTTATCGCCCTTCGGATTGTAGAAGAATGCCAACGATACCCTCTCTTTCTCCGAATTCACTATCACTCTGTGCTCCACACTTTTATAGTTTCCGTTGCTCAAAATCTAGACGAATTTTTGACAAATAAAAGTTGGTTAAACTTTGAAATTTAGCTCTTAACGTCGAAAAATATGCTTGTTTAACAATCTGATTGTGACAATTTTTTGTATGAAACGACATAATAATAAAATTCTTGTTAAGCTTCAAAGTGTAACTTTTTAATCGAAGTGGAAAAATCTTTAGTATCAAGCTTATTTAACATCAATATTGTCATAAAATATTGTGTGAAATGGATTAATTCGTTAGGCGAATCGATTTATCATACATTCATAACACAAGTGCATTTTTATATTACGAAATGTCATACAAATTGGAAATTTATACATATTATGTATAAATTGTATAGTATGTCTGACCTGCATTTGATCGCCTATGTTAACTATGAAGGCATTTGGAATGGGCTTGACAGTGACCCAATTGCCGGCATGGCGGACTTGGAGGCCCGATACGTTTTCATCAGGGAAGAGAATTGTCATGCCGCCCGGGTCAGAATGGGCCGAAAGGCCCAATGTGAGGTCGGGCTGAGGACATTTTGGATAATAGTTAACCCTCATGCATGCGCCCAATTCGTCCGGCCCGCCAAATGCTTCTTGAAGATAGTTTTCTCCAAGGCCTAGGTTTCTCGACAATATCTTCATTAATTTCCCACAAAGTTCAACCACTTGTCGGCTGTATTCTGCCCCAAGTTCCCTATAATTAATTGACCAAAAAAAAAATAATAATAATAATTACGATTATTTATTTCTTAGTAGTAAGTAGTAACCAGATATTATGATAGTGCAATATGTTTTGATTAGTAAAATAATTTTTTTCCCTTTCTCAAAGTAAATAAATAAATTTATCTATAAGTTATAGTTATTTTCAATCAATATATTTTGGTTTTATAGATCAAGGGATGCAAGAGAGTTGAGCAGCGCTCGAGTCA